ATAACCCCCCCGATCCCCACCTTGGTCTGCTCGTTGCGGCTGGCCTCGCGCAGGGCGCCGTCGCCGTCGCCGTGCAGCCGGTGCCGCAGCGCCGCCAGGCGCTCCAGGGGCCCGGCCACCTCGGGCGACGCCAGGAGCTGGCGGGCACGGTCCTGCCAGGTGATGGCCCGCTCGGTCAGGCACTGCAGGGCCTCGCCCTCGGGCAGCCTCACCGGCAGCTTCTGCAGGGCCACCAGCAGCGCCAGGATGGTCTCGAGGCGCGGCCGGCGCGAGCGCTGGCACAGCGGGCACAGGAACTTGGCGTCCCACTCCCACCAGGCCGGCGAGGGCTTCTGGTTGCCCAGGCGGGGCCAGGCCACGCAGGAGCCGTGGAACCAGTCCCGGCAGAGCTGGCACTGCAGCATGGCCGGCCCCGCGGGCTGCCCGCACACGCAGGACGGCGGCCCCGGGCCCGGCAGGGGCGGCGCGGATTTCTGGGCGTTGGCGTGGCGGAGGCGCAGCATGCCCTCCTTCTCCTTCTGCTCGCCCTCCTTGAACGCCACGATCTGGGGGGACAGCGGGGGGTGAGGGGGGACGGGGGGAATGGGGGTGACCCCCAGCCCAAACCCCTGAATCCCAAAATCTGGGGTGGGGGACAGCAGGGGGTGAGGGGGGACAGGGGGAATGGGGGTGACCCCCAGCCCAAACCCCTGAATCCCAAAATCTGGGGTGGGGGAGAGCAGGGATTGAGGGGGGACGGGGGGAATGTGGGTGACCCCCACCCCAAACCCTTGAATCCCAAAATCTGGGGTGGGGGAGAGCAGGGATTGAGGGGGGACAGGGGGAATGGAGGTGACCCCCACCCCAAACCCCTTGAACACCAAAATCTGGGGTGGGGGACAGCAGGGGTTGAGGGGGGATGGAGGAAATGTGGGTGACCCCCAGCCCAAACCCCTGAATCCCAAAATCTGGGGTGGGGAAGAGCAGGGATTGAGGGGGGACGGGGGAATGGGGGTGACCCCCACCCCAAACCCCTTGAACACCAAAATCTGGGGTGGGGGACAGCAGGGATTGAGGGGGGACGAGGGGAATGGGGGTGACCCCCACCCCAAACCCCTTGAACACCAAAATCTGGGGTAGGGGACAGCAGGGGTTGAGGGGGGATGGAGGAAATGTGGGTGACCCCCACCCCAAACCCCTTGAACACCAAAATCTGGGGTGGGGGACAGGAGGAGGGTTAGAGGGGACAGGGGAAATGTGGGTGACCCCCACCCCAAACCCTTGAACACCAAAATCTGGGGTGGGAGAGAGCAGGGGGTGAGGGAGGACAGGGGGAAATGTGGGGTGACCCCCACCCCAAACCCTTGAATCCCAAAATCTGGGGTGGGGGACAGCGGGGGGTGAGGGGGGACAGGGGGAAATGTGGGTGCCCCCCACCCCAAACCCTTGAATCCCAAAATTTATGGTGGGGGAGAGCAGGGACAGGGATTGGGGGAAATGTGGGTG